GCGTCTTGCCAACAAAATGGCTGTAACTCGCCTTAAAATTCAGCTAGAAATGGGATTTTTGCACCAAAATGAGCAGGAGAACTCAGGAAATAACATAGGTGGTTCGAAAAAAAAGGCATGACTTTGATACAGCCTGTCAATTTCAAAACGCCATAACTCGCTTCAAAATTGAGCTAGAGACCTGTTTTTTTACCAAAATGCGCAGGAAAATGTGGAAAATCCAAAACAATAAATAAAGTAGCTGAATATTTTGAATTCTCAAACTCAGAATCTGAGTCAGAAGTCGTTCCAAAACTGGAAACTAACTCCTAGAATTTTTCCTAGGTTTCCTGAATATGGGTAGGATTCAAAATTGTACTCTTTTGCAATCCATTATTCATAAAATTAGGGTCATCTGTTTGGGGGTTTTTTTGAAAAATTGACAAAAATTTCCTTTTTTTCTCTAGGTTCTCTATGTCTAATCAATCAACTCCTTTCTAAAATTCACTCTCTTCTTAGTTTTTCCACTTTTTTTTCATTCCTACCACCACTACGTACTACATCTTCCTATATACCGTCTTTGTTTAATTCATCACCTCCCCTCATTTTCTTTCTTTCTCTAACCACCCTCTCACTTCTTCATTATCTCCTACTAGTGAATTCAGGGGGAATCTCTCTTATGTTTCCTGTTGCATTTTCCGAAACCCCTACCCCCCCCCCCCCCCCATTTTTTATTTTCTTATTTCCTCCCCTTGAAATGTCTGCGGACTGTCCATCTTCCCGGAAATGCTCCGGTTTTGGTACTAATATAGTAAAATAATACAGGATTTTTATATTATTATTTTTAGGCAATTCCTAAGGATCATTTCAGTAAAAAAATCAAGTCTCTAGCTCGATTTTGAGCCGAGTTATAGCCAAGTTTGTTTCGAGGGCGGAATCAGCAAGAGGTTATAAGCGGCGGGCGCAACAGGCGTAGCTCCCCTTCTGTCGCGCTAGCCGCTTATCATCTCCGGCTCGTTGCGCCCACAGAAAAACAAAATAGGCTATAATTCGCTTTAAGATTAGCCAATAAAAGTGATTTTTAAAGTAAAATGTTGGAAATTTTGTGGGCTTTTTAATAATATACATTTCGAGACTAGAAAATGAAATTGAATTTTTAAAGAACTTCAAAACTTTTGATAGAATGAGCAAATATAATGAACAATTATTAATGAGTGATTGTCAAGGTTCATTTTGATATAAAAATCATGTCTGTAGCATGATTTTAAAGCGAGTTATAGCCAAGTTTGTTCCTAGGGCGCAATCAGCGGGAGGTGATAAGCGGTGGGCGCGACAGGAGGGGAGTGGCTTGGCAAAAAAACTTGGATTATCTCGATTTCTGTAAAAGATAGCAAAAAACTGTAAAATACAAAAATCATCCTTATAAAATTTTGAACATTTTTCTAGTTTACAATTTTTTGATACCTTTTTTGGAAAGCGAGATAATTGAGTTTAAAGTTGGAGGGCATAATTTAGATTATCTCACTTCTCAAAAAAGATACAACAAAGTTGTCAATCGCAAAAATGTGTAGAATTGAATTTTACACATTTCCACCGCTAAGATAATTAGCGAATTCAAGTAAATGGTCCTAGAGATCCTTGCCCAAGTGCCTAATCCCACCCCAAACAGTTGCTCACAACTGCGTAGCTGACAGATTTCTGTCAGAAGGTGTCACAATATGATTATATGGTGGGACACAGGGGTTCGTAAAAACTCTCGGGGGGGGGGGGGTCCCGAGGGTGATTTATTTATTACTCCCCCCTCCCCTGAATACCTTTTTATATTTATTATCTATTTCCATTCTTTATGCTCTTATATTCTAAAGAAATTGTAAGGAATAGGGAATAGGTTATCTCTCAATGGGGCGAATTTGCATAAGCTCCACTTGAAGAGACGGTTATAAAGGTACGGAAGTCGATAGGGGGAAGAATTGAAGAATTCCAGTGTGATGAATAATCGAAAATTCAAAATTTTGGGATCTGAAAATTCAAATTAAGGGCCTAAAAATTTAGTTTGGGACCTCGGGAAACTCCATAAAAGGAGAATAAGGAAGGAAACAAAAAATTCCATTTGTGTTTCTTTTTTTTTGAAAAAAAAATCTTCATAGGCTTAGCCAGAGAGCTGGGACTAATCCTGAAATCTACCAGGAACTCTCTTTTTTGTGTTTTTTTGGATTTTTTGAAAATTTTAAATTCCAGCGGTTTTTTGGGATTTTCTTGCCTAATTATTCTGGCATAAAAGTTATCTAATCTGAGTCAATTAAGTCAATTAAAATTCAGAAATTTTAAATAGGAAAATTCGAAAAAAAAAATTTTGAAATTGTTTTGATTTTTTGAATTTTCGGAGTTTTCAAAAAAAAAAACAAGCCTGAAAATCTGGTTTTTTGAATCAATCTTTTAATTGGAGATAATTAGCATGAATTATTAACCAATGTTAAGCTTCAAAACCATATCAACTACACGGGACACACTTTCCCACACACCGCCTTTATTAAGCAAACAAGTTTAGGCTCATCTCATTGTACCTATATAATCCAATTATACAGTGTATAGGTTACTGTTTTTATTATTTGACTAACCTTGTTCTTCTTGGAACTAGGAAAATCTCGAAAAATCTAATGTTTCTGAAAGACAAATCATTGAATTTTGTTTCTTCTGAATAAGCAATTTTTCCCAAACAATTTAAGGTAAAAATCATTTCTCTAGCTTGGTTTTGAGCCGAGTTACAGCCAAATCTGTTCCGAGGGCGCGCGGCGCCAGAGGTGGGGACCGGTGGGCGCGACAGGAAAGGAGCGGCGCCTGTCGCGCCCGCCGCTCATCACCTCTGGCTGCCTTGGCCCTGCGAACAGATTTGGCTGAAATAACATAGTTACAGTTTCATTATCACTAAAATCACGATTGCTTCTAGAAACTTCAAAAATATCCAGCTAAATTATGTTTTCTTGTTGTATATCCTCTTACCTCTCGTCACTTCTCTTGTTGTATCATTAGAAAACATCTTTCTTTCTTCTTCTCCTTCACCCCCGTAACGTGCCGTCTGTCTTTTTCTTCTTCGTTCTTCTGATGGTTCCGCTTTTCAATCCATCATTCTCGCCTCTCGCTTCTGTCCCTTTAATACCGTAATCTGATCACGGACACGGGCACTTTCATCCGGGGGAAGAGGGGGCAAGAGGAGGCGGAACACCCAAATAGGCTCCGCCCACTTTTCCCGGTGGAAGTGCTGGTGGGAGAGGCACCCTCTTCCTTTGACTTCCCCGATTTTGCTCGAGATTTGGAGATTCTTAGCGGGGTAATTATGGTTTTTCTTGGATTTTGAATTTTTTTGTCTGTCTGTTTCTATTTGTCTTAAAATTCTGCACATTTCACAGAAACTTTCATTTTTCTAGCTCAATTTTGGTCCAAAAACGATTTTCTTCTACCTAGTTACTTTAAAACCTCTAGAATCTGTAAATTGTAGCAATTCGTTTTGTTCAAAATATACCGATTGTATTGGCCTTAAAATTCCCCTCATTTTGAATTCATTTTCAATTTTATAGCTTAGGTTTAAGCCAAGATAGGGCGTTTTGAAGTTAAAAGCAACGGTTTTCGCAACCTAGGTACTTTAAAGCTTTTAAAGTCTAGGAA